ATCCTTTCTCTCCCCAGATTGTTCGCATTCTCTTCACGATGACACCTTGGCCTTCTCAGCACAGCCCCTCGTACTGGTACCTCCTTCCTTGCGTCTACACTAGGGCTAAGGATGATTAGCCTGATCCAGGGTAGAAACCTGAACTCATATCAAAACAGGCCAGTAAAAGCCTCTTTTCCTCCAGGTTGAAATCGGTGTGGCCTTTCTGTTTTTTCTCAATCACCAGTTGGTTAGAGGAGCCCTGGTGGCACAGTGGTTAAGAACTCGGCTGCTAACCAAAAGGCTGGCCGTTCGAATCCACCAGCAGCTCCTTGGAAACCCTATGGGGCAGTTCTACTCTGTCCCATAGGGTCACTATGAGTCAGCTTCAACTCGATGGCAACGTTATTTATTTTTTTCAGTTTAGTTGGTTAGAGCACCCTCATGGGCCTCCACGAGGTAATATTTTAGGTCTTGCCAAGGACGTGGCATTCTTTTAATCACAGAATCAATAAAATGTGTAATGGAATTTTTTTTCTCATCACACTTCAGGGCCCATGCTTGACTCTTGGGCTCCAGTTTAAGCCGTTTCAGCCTGAGCCTTCGGCAGGTTTCCTGCTTCCACTCAGGCCTAAAGATTTCTTTCTGCTCCCTGCTCGCCCCCTTTCTTTTCAGTCACTTTGAGAAACCCCAATCTCATCTTTCTTATATGTGTCGACTTGATACTACCACCTTCTATCATTCCAAGCTTCACAGGTCTCAAAATAAGACCATATATATATATATATTTTTTTTTTTTTTCCTAATGAGTACCTCAGATTTTACTGAAGGACTGGGGGAAAAAAGGAATCCTTTCCTAAATACTAGGAAAGGATTTTGAAACTGTTTACTACATCGGACTTGTTCATAGTCTAAGAAAAATGTATTCAAGATGCTAAGGTTCTTTTTTTAATCTCATTTTTTTAAATTTGTTGTTGCTCTTGAAAATATACGCAGCAGAACATACCGCATTTCAACAATTTGTACATGTACCGTGCAGTGACACTGAGTACATTCTTCAAGTTGTGCAACCGTTCTCACCCTCCTTTTCCAAATTGTTCCATCCCCATTAACATAAAATTTACTGCCTCCTAAGCTTCCTATCTAACTTTTCGAGTTGCTGTTGTCACTCTGATCCCATATAAACCCAAACCAAACCAAACCTGTTGCCGTAGAGTCAATTCCGACTTATAGCGGACCCTGTAGGACAGAGTAGAACTGCCCCATAGGGTTTTCAAGGCTGTAATCTTTACGAAAGCGGACTACCACGTCTTTCTCCCATGGAGTCGCTGGTGGGTTCGAACTGGTGACCTTTCTGTTTGCAGCTGAGCACTTAACCACTGCACCGCCAGGGCTCCTCTATATGATACCATATAGATAGCTCTTAAAGAGCACAATGCTCAAGGCAGACAGCAAGATGCTAAACTTATCACAAAGGTCTCCTCAGGTAAAACCCTGACACTTGGAAACGGCAACCAAAGACAGTGACGTCCGGCAGTGCACACAGCCACACTCACACATACGCTCTCACACACTTACACTCACACACTCTAGCTCACTGGGAAAAGACCTTTCTCTGTCTTTGAGAACCATATGATGATATCAGCACAGGTCTTTGGAGGAAAGAAAATTCATATTTAAAAAAAAAATTTTTTTTATTGTTGTAATTAAATGAAGTTTACATTTCAAGTTAGTCTCCCATACAGGATTTTTTTTTTAACATACATTGTTATGAGACCCCAACCGGTCACCCCTTTCTGCGACAGCACACTCCTCCCATCTTCTTTCTTTTCTTAGAAAACTCATATTTTATAGATGGAACCTCAAGACTGTTCCAGGCTTCTTGCATCATGGAGGGTTGTGGAGGCCTGAGGCACTTGACTTCCCATATTCTCAGCATCCCCCTCTTGCCTGTTTTGATGTGAATCCATAAATAAGCCCCATGCACAAACTCCATTGAGAGCCAAGGGTCCACGTGCCTTTAGCTTCACCCCAGAGGCACGTGTCTGAGAAGTTGTGCATAAATTAAATTTCTGCAGATCAATTCGGATTCCCCACTGACTTCCAATAAGATTTCTGAGACGCTTTCTCTTCATCAAGATTGATTTTCGATGTCCACCTAACACTTCAGCTTTAAGTTTACCTGCCTCCTGCCATCCTCTCTGACGGTTAGTTAATCCTCATTTGCAAAATGAAAAAAACTGGATGAGCAAAGCAGCCAGCTTTCTGGAAGACTATTTTCTAGGGCTTGAAGGGTTTTCTTCCCATTCCCTTGGAGGATAGCACACGTCTCAGGTGAGCGGCATCTTAGTTTTAGGTGGGCTGGTGCTATCCCTTCTGTTTTCCACTCCCTAGCGTCAAATGCCAGAAACCTTCCCTACTGAAATAGAAACGGGTGCTGTGGTTCTGGGGAATGGTGTGTGCAGTTGGTGACCTGAGGTACAGAGCAGTTGCTAAGTAAAGATGAAATGAGTCACTAGGGAGGCCCTGTAGCTCTGGTCTCTGGCAACAGAGTTAAGCAGGGGCACGTGCGTCATGGGTCTGCGGTGCTGGTCAGGCGGCTCCTTTGCCGTCTTTCAACTGGAACCAGAGATATTATTAGTGCTGATAGGGGAAGGAATTGCCTGCTTAGTGGTGAGGAAAATTAATAGCCCAAGCATTCTCCCATTCTGCATTCTCCTTGATGGAATTTTGATTAAAAAAAAATTGCGGCAGCTCTTTGCATATTCTGGAAGCGTGTGTGCATGTGTGTGGTTTGGTGTTTACAGATTTGGGGTTGCAGAGGGGAGTTTCCAGAGCAACGGAAGTAGCTGCTTGTCAGTCAGGGTTCATTTTGAAAATGAAAGCCTGAAAGCTTGGGGCCCACTCTGGGCAGGGGCCTGGTTTTTGAGGGCTCAGCAAACGCCAGGAGTGGCTTTGGCCAGTCAGCTGAGTGAAGTAACCACTTGATCCCGCCTTTTTTTTTTTTCCTTCTTCTTCTTTTTTCTAGTGAATTGACCAAATCTGTGAGTTGCTTTTGGTGTCCTGCAGATTCGGTCTGAGGCAGGGATGTGGGAGTGGGCATCGAGGCTCTGGCTTTAGATGAGCCCCCCCCCCCAAAAAAAAACCACATACACACAATCACATTTTCCCAGGCTGCCAAACAAGAACAAGGTAATAAATATTTGTTGTGCACCTAGTAGGTTAGTATAGTATAGGATAGTAAGACAGTTGTCAAAGCCTTTCTAGTTTAATTGGCATGTCAGAGCAAGAGGAGAGAAATACAACGCAAGGCAGTCTATGCTGGATACCAAATGACTCATAGAAACAGAGCATTAGCGGGGAGATTATTCTGAGCTGAAGTAATCACAGCAGGCTTTCTGGAGAAGGTGGAAGCTAAGGCTGACCTTGAAGGACAGGGAGAGCCTCACTAGATAGAAGCTCTGAGGGAGGGCATTCCAGGTAGGGAGGGCAAGTTCAAGGTATGCTCAGGTTAAGACAAGTCCATCCATTTGGCTGGAATTTGGGGCTTGTGTGAGTGATTTGCAGTTGATAAACCTGGCTTGAATGGCAGTCCCTCTGTGCCGGGACAAAGGCTATGCAGTCAGACATACCTGCTCTGCCACTTCCTGTTAAGTGACCTTGGGCAAATGGCCTAACCTCTCTGCAAACTGGAGATAGTAATGGCACTTAGCTCTTGAGGTCATTGGGAGGATGAGAGGAATTAATATATATAAAGCATCTAGCAGTGTCTGGCACATAGTACATGTTCAAAAATGGATTACAAATGCGTAGGGTGCCATGAAGGAAAAGCTGAGGATATTTTGAGCTGTCCTCAAATATTTGGGGGTCAAGGAGGAAAAGCCATTGATACCTTCCATCACTGGTGGCCTCTGTTGGCCCAGTGGAGTGGGCTTGAGCCCCCATCGCCTCTGGCCTAGACTGTTGGAACAGTCTCCTGGCTTCCTGACTGTGCCAGAACCACCTTCCTAAAACACCACCTTAATCGTGGCCGTATGCTTCCCTAGCTCAAGAACCTTCAATGGCTCTCTGTTACTCGTAGACTGAACTCCTTAACATGGTGGTGGTAGGGGTGGGGCAAGAACGAAAATTTATTGAGGGAAGGGAAGAGCAAAGAGGAGACAGGTGTTGGGAGTAAAGAGATCAAGTATCCTTGTCTTTTAAAAGCCCTGAAGCTCTGGCTTCCCAGAATTCAGCAGGTCCCTCAGGGAGAGGGCTGGGTTGCGTCTCTGGAAAAGCCAGGGCGTTCCCTTGGCCTCTGGCTCAGGTTCACCTGTCCCCGCTTCCTCAAGAGAGAGGAGAGCCGAGCACGGGCCGAGAAGGAGCAGAAGAATACCTCTTCTGAGCTCTTGGAAGGGCTCGGGCCTGGACCCTGGACTCGCGTTTCTCTGCAGGAATCCCGGGCAGCTCTGGGCGCTGCGGGGGCAGAGTAACATGGGGCAGCCGGGTCGCCTCCGTGAATGCTAGGCGCGGGACGAAGGCGACTCGGGGACAAAGTGCAGGCAGACTCGAGAAGAGATAAGCGGGAAGGGCGAAGGCAGGGGGCAGGAGCGAGCGCCTTGGAGCTCCAGGCTGGCGCTCCGGGAGGGAGGAGGAAGCCTAGCTCAGCCCGTCGCGGGGTGAGCTACCGCTGCGGAGATGCGGAGCGTCAGGGCTGCTAGGGCTGCGTGGCCGAAGGCGGGGCTGCCCAGCTCACCTGGCCGTTTGGGGCGGGGCGCCCGCGCCCGGGGAAGCTGCAGGGCGGCTGGAGCTGGGGCACCCGAGCGGGGCTTGCCCTAGGGACTGGGCCTGAGAGCCCAGCCTCCACGCCCCACCGCCCGGGCCGGGCCCTCCCTTGCCCGCGGGGCCTCCCTCCCCCGCCTCCCCTCCCTCGCTCTCTCCCTCCCTCCCTCTGAGCCCAATTGCTCAAACCGCTTCCTTCCCCAGCGCCCGCGCCAGTTCCTCTCCCGCTGCGGCCCGGCCAGGACAGCGAGCCCCAGACCCCGACCCGCCGCGGCCGCAGCGGTAAGAGCATGGCCGAGCCCCGAGGGGCCGCGAGCCGGGCGCCCAGGACCTCCCTGACTACCGCGCTAAGCCTGCGGAACACCCCGCAGCCCCGCCCCTCGAGAGTGGACGTGGGGAGCCTGGGCAGATACCGGGGCGCAGCCGCCAGCGCCCGGGAGTCCCCCTTCCGTGGCTCGGGGATGTTCTCCGGAGCGGCCTCGGCGCGGCGGCGGGGAGGGCTGCGCGAGCTGCTGGGGCTGCAGGGGGCAGCTCCCGCCGGGTGGCCGTCGGAGGAGCGCGCCGAGGAGCGGCCGCCAAGCGGGTCGGGCGGCAGCGGGCTGTGCCTGGACCCCCGGGAACACGCGTGGATGCTGGCGGCCGCCGAGGGCCGCTTTGAGGAGCTGCAGGAGCTGCTGGAGGCCGAGCCGGGGCTGCTGCTGAGGGGCGACCCGATCACGGGCTACACGGTGCTGCACTGGCTGGCCAAGCACGGGCGTCACGAGGAGCTCATTCTGGTGCACGACTTCGCCCAGCGCCGGGGGCTGCAGCTCGACGTGAGCGTCCCGGGCAGCGGCGGCCTCACGCCCCTCCACCTGGCGGCCCAGCAGGACCACGATATGGTTATCAAGGTGCTGGTGGGCGCTCTGGGCGCCGACCCCTCGCGCCGCGACTACAACGGCCACCGGGCCTGCCACTACCTGCGGCCCGACGCGCCCCGGAGGCTGTGGGAGCTATCGGGGGCCGAAGACTGGGAAGTGGTGGGCGGCAACGAGCGCGACAACGCCAACAACAACAGCAGCGGCGCCGCCGCGCGGGCTCTGAGATGGACCCTAAGCCCAACGGGCGGGACGGCGGTGGAGGCGGCAGCGGCGCCGGCCAAGGAGAAGGACTCCCTGGGCTCCCGAGTGGCGCAAATTCAGGGCCTTTTGCGCCAAGTGTTTCCCTTCTTCCAGGACCGCTGAGGGCGGCGGAGACTGGAGAGGGCAGAGCGGCCCCGACGCTGCGGGAAGCCGCGGTGCTGAGGTCTCCGGGATCCCACCGAGGGGGCGGCGCCGCGAACACAGCTCCGGCCACAGCCAAGCGCGAGCTCGGGGCCGGTCTCAGGTACCTGTCTCACGCCTCCTGCAGCCACCGGCCGGGAGGACCAGGCCGGCCTGGCGCCAGGTCCCAAAGCTGCTAGGACAAAGGAGTTTAGGAACAGGGTGCTTGGTCCTGCTGTGGGAAAGACACCGTTAAGCTTCCAGCAGCCATTTCTGGGCAGGCGGGAAGTCGGGTTTATTAGGAAACATTTGCTAGAAGAACGAGTTAAGACTGTAACGCACTGATGCAGAGGCAGCGCCTAACTGCAGGGCCGAACTTGGCCATTAATGAGTCACATTGTGCCTGTAGAGTCAGCCTCTGGCGACCTGCTCTTGAAACAACCAGGCCTTACTGGTACCTTTTTTAATGTATCACGGATGAGTTCTTAAATATATTAAAGTGGAATATGTTTTCGTTTCACGTAACAGAGATGTCCTTTGAGTGCATTTTTTTTTCCTTCCATTAACCGCAGAGAGTGAAGCTCCATACGATTGCAGGGAAAAGTTCACCAACTCCTGGCCTCGTGGCTATGAGCTAGTGGTCCAGGGTAGGCTCTGGACCTCATTCTCAGAGCAAAAGGCCAGGGCTGTCCACTGAAGGAGCGACTTTCATCTTGGCTCTGAGTATATCTGTTGTCCCGCCAACCCCCTCTTCGGCATCTAGGTCTGGCCTCTGTCACAAGGATCATCCTAGAGGAATTATCGTGTAGGGGGGCAGAGGGGTGGTAAAAGGGAAAGGTCTTCAAATTTACAATTCGGTAATTCCTGGTGAGTCATGTAATTTACCTCGACGCGTGCCCTCCAATAGACACACCCACTTTTTTTCCAAGAGAGTTTTCCCCATCAGCACTGCCTTTTTTTTTTTTTTTTCCTTTTAATTCAGTTTACCACTTAAGTTGTTTGGAAAATTGCTCCAATTCAGAAATTGCATGAATTGAGTAAAACAGGAGGGTTGACTCAGCCTGAAAGGAGGAAGGCGCAGTGGGCGGCTAGAGATCCCTGCTGCCTTGGAGAAGAGTGCATTTAAAAAAATAACACTGCATCTGTGGAGGCTTGACAGCCCTTGCAGTGGACTGCTGTGTTCCCCAGCCCTCTCATCCCAGGCCTTGAACACCAGGAAGAAACTGAGTCACCACAGAACAGAAGACCCAGACATGCAACCCTCAGCCCATCCATCCAGGTATTTATCTCTGCCTGGGGGAGCCTGGTTGCCTTCTTTGATGCCCCTCTGTGCTCAAAACTTTCCTACTTTCCCTAAATAACCCATTATGTTCTTTTTATTGACAAAATGATCCAAACCCTTCCTATCGATGGTTTCAGCCTGTCCCACGTCTTTAGGAGCTATACCTTAAAACACATATTTACAGGGTGTAATGTAGTGGCACAAACAGTTAAGCACAGGGCTGATAACCAAAAGGTTGGCAGTTCAAGTCCACCCAGAGGTGCCTCAGATGAAAGGCCTGGCAATCTACTTCTGAAAAATCAGCCGTTGAAAATCCTATGGATAACAGTTCTACCCTAACATGCATGGGGTCACCATGCTTCAGAATCTACTTGATGGCAACTAGGTTTTTCTGTTGTTTTTTGGTGAAAATATACACAGCAAAACATACAGCAATTCAATTTCTACATGTACAATGCAGTGACATTGGTTACCTTCTTCAAGTTCTGCAACCATTCTCATCCTTTTCCAAATTATTCTACCACTATTAACATAAACTCACTGCCCTCTAAGCGTCAATTAGATCAAGTATAGATAGTTCTTTAAAAGAGCACAATGATCAAGGCAAACATTCTTTCCTAATTAAGCTAAACTATTGTTTGATTTAAAGATTATGTCAGGATTTTGTTTTGGGGCTTTTTTTAATGCAGTATTTCCTTTTTCTTCTAAATGAACTTCTTTTCTTTGATATTTGAAGGAGGGAGGGCCGGCAGTTCTCGGATTCTGGCATTTGAGGAGTATGTCCATAAGCCACCTTTCCACCCCCTGTGCCCATTTTACAGATGCAAGCTGGCTAATTGATGCTGGGCTGCGGTTTCTGCTCCACCACCTCCCCCCTTGATAGCTGTCAAGGTGGGTTAGGCTTGGTGAAGGCTGTCAGGACAAAGTCTTCCCGCCACATGGCTGAGTCTGCCAGCTCCTGGCTTGGGGGGAAGATAGGCGTGTGCCTTGGCAGAGCATTCAAAGGTCACTTATAACAATAGTGCCCTCTTTATAGGAAAAGTTAGAACCTAAGTATCTTAACTATTAGCAGATTTTGGTGACCTGAGACAAGAACCGGCCCTGCTTTTTCCAAAATGAAAACCAAATCAAATCAGCTGGAAGATTTGAAAGCGGCCCTCTATAGTTTTTCCTGGAGTCAGCTATTCTTCCCCACAGATTTTTCTCATCATGTGATATTGCCTAGCCTACCTCTTCCATATAAAACTGAGGTTTGGCTTCAGGGAACAAACTCCCATGCTGAAAACTCTCCATTCCTAACATCAAGCCATTGGCATTCCTGGTATGCTTTTCGAGGCAAGACTGGTATGCTTACCCCAAGAGAAAGAGCAAGTTCCCCCGAGAAACCTCTTTTCGGGGGAGCAAAACGGAGTTAAGCAGATGATGCAAAACTGCATTCTAGTGGGGGATCCTGGCAAGGAAAGGAGCCCGTTAGAAGCAGGGCTGAGACAGGTAAACATGGGGGCTGGGGGTGAAGAGGGCTGAAGGAGCACTGAGGGTGGGCCTGACCCAGGGGGAGGTTCTGGAAAGGCTTTCTGGGGAGGAAGGCAAAGCCTGATCTGAGGCTCCAGGGGTAAGTGGGAGTTGGCCAGTGGAGCAGAGGGGAGGGGGATTCCTGGCAAAGTCACCAGGGTATGTACGGGAGAACATGGCCTGTACCAAGAACTCTAACTCAGCTGGCTGGCAGGGGGGTGGGAGCTGAGGAGTAGAGAAACACAATGCTGGAGAAGAAGATGAGGGTTCAGATCACTAAGGGTCTCATAACCAGTACCAGTTGCTGTCGAGTTGATTCCAACTCATGGCGACCCCGTGTGTGTCAGAGTAGAACTGTGTTCCATAGAGTTTTCAATGGCTGTGACCTCGGAAGCAGATCACCAGGCCTTTCTGCCAAGGTGCCTCTGGATAGACTTGAATCTCCAACCTCTCGGTTAGCAGTGGAGTGCATTAATTGTACCACCCGGGGCCTCCTAAACAAAACCAACCCAGACCCGTTACCGCTGCATCGATTCCGACTCATAGCGACCCTGTAGGACAGAGTAGAACTGCCCCACAGGATTCCCAAGGAGCGGCTGGTGGATTCGAACTGCTGAACTTTTGGTTAGCATCCTAAAAAAGTGGTACATAGATTTTAACCTAAAAGCAGTCGGGAGCCATAGAAGGTTTCTAAGTAGAGCAGTAACACGATGAAATTTTAGAAAAAGCTCCCTGGCAGTCACGTGGAAGACGGATGTGCCAGGAGAGAAAATTGGGGAAAAATGCATCACATAAGCAAAGCGCTTCTAGGGCAGCGTTTTTTTCAGAAAAGTCACGCATCAGCCTGAGAAGTTCCAAGAGCCCTGGATAGGGCGGTGGCTGTCAAATTTTTCTTTTTTGTCTCCTCCACAGCCTTTGATCTAATAAAGCTTGCCTAGAAACCCTGCAAGGAGCCCTGGTCGTACAGTGGTTAAAACACTCATCTGCTAACCAAAATGTTGGTGGTTCAAACCCACCGGCTGCTTCACAGGAGAAAGCTGTGGCAGTCTGCTTCCCTAAAGATTACAGCCTTGGAAACTCTATGGGGCATTCTACTCTGTTCTGTACGGTAGCTATGAGTCGGAATCGACTCAATGGCAACCAGTTTAAAACTGACAAATGCGGAGCTGCCCAGGTTGAATACCTCTCCTCTCCATTCCTCACCTCCACGCTAGACAGACAGACAGACATCACACACAGTGGCTCCGGGGCAAAATTCAAAACCACTGTGGTGGTAAAAAGTGGTCAGATTAACCTGGGTTCAAATCCTGACTACTACATTAGTTGCTGGGTGACCTTGAGCAAATTGCTCACCTCCCTGAGTTGCAGTTTTCTCATCAGTAAAATGGGAACAATACAACCTCCCTTGCAGGGTCGTTCTGAGGATTCAATATAATGTATGTGCAACACCGAGCACGCTGCCTGACACATAGAAAACACTCAGGAAATAATAGCTGTTCTTTGAAAGAATTGAAAGAGGCTCAGCAGACTGTTGTGGTGAAACTATATTACAGTGAAACCTGTGAGAGCTAGAACTTCCCAGGACTGCCTTGTTTTTCCGGGTCTCGCAAGTTTTCCGCCTTTGATAGGATGCAATCTTACCACTTGTCTATTGCTCGTTTTAGAGGAAAATATTTTAATTTTCCTTCTCTGACAGGTTTCCACCTTACACAGGTTCCACTTTTGCAGGTTTTACTGGATCTGCTAGAGTGATCCTGTGCTTTACCTGTATTATTCCATCTCTAAAATGTATTCGTATTCATTGCAAGTGATTTTCCATCTGTGGCAAATGAACAGCTGTTCCTCAAAGGCGATGTTGGTTCTTCTCTGCTGATATTCTTCACAACCAATATGCTTTTACTTTAGACGTGATTATAACAAGCTAAGTTACCTTGATTTCAGCACACAGAAGTACTAAGTGCCAACCACATATGTTAGATATTATTTCTAGACAAAGTCATAAATTGGGCTCAGAGCTAAACCTGAAATCCTCTGAAGACAAAATTATACAAGTTCTTCCTCACCTTCAGACCCTGTTTATCTATAGAAATGCCTCTCTCCCGCCTCTAGCCAACATACTCTACATTCCACACACCCTGCCTTCCCTCCTTCTGGTCATTTTAATGACAGAGTGTGCCTGTCCCCTTTCAAAATTTAACTCACACTTTCAATGCTGTCTCCTAGGGTCTAATTCCATCAATTGTTCCTCTCTCCTGTATCTTCAAGCAAGGAGCCCTGGTGGCGCAAACGGTTAAGCACTTGGCTGCTAACTGAAAGGTTGATGGTTTGAATCCACCCAGCAGCCACACGGGAAAGAACTGGCGATGTGTTCCCATATACATTACAGCCAAGAAAACTCTATGGGGCAGTTCTACTCTACCACATGGGGTCGCTATGAGCTGGAATCGACTGGAGGGCACCCAACAATGTATCTTCAAGCTTATCCTCCGTTCAGTTCAGTGCAACAAAATGTGTTGAGTGCCCACTAGAAGCCAGGCTCTTCAGGTGATGAACAGGCTCAAGTCTCCCCCAGCCTTCTGACCCAACATTGTGGCTCTCCTCTTCTCTTCCCAGCCAAGCCTCTCCAAAGGGAGGTCTCCTCCCCTCACTATCTTTGTTTTCTCACCTCTTATTAACTCTTCAACCCTCATCATTCTGGCTTCTGCCTCCATCACCCAGAGCAATTAGTTCTAGGAAGGTCTCCCATGATGACCTCCCATCTGCCAAATCCCTTAACCCCATAGCCACCTCCAGTTCTCTCTTAAATTGCATATCAACATACCCAGCTGTTTATTGGACGTCTTCACCTGGATGTCTTACAGACATCTCAAACTTAATGTGTCTAAAACCAAACTCTTGATTCCCACTCCCCTTCCCTGCCACATATATATATACACACACATACACAAGTCTATTCTTCTCATGGTCTTTCCCTCTCAGTACATGGCACCACCATCTACCCTGTTACAAACGCCAGAAATCTGGCCATCCTTGCCACCTCTCTCTTCCTCCTCCTCTACAGTCATACAATTACAAGTCTTGTTGATTCTACTACATCTCTCTTATCTGTCCGTTCAACTTCATCTCTGCTGCCTCTGCCTTAGTTCA